GATACTCTACATGGAAACCCCAAAAGACTCCACCCCAAAATTGCTAGAACTCATACAGGAATTCAGCAAAGTGGCAGGATAGAAAATCAATGCACAGAAGTCAGTTGCGTTTCTGTACACTAACAATGAGAAAGAAGAGAGAGAAACTAAGGAGTTGATCCCATTTACAATTGCACCCAAAACCATAAGATACCTAGGAATAAACCTAGCCAAAGAGGCAAAGGATCTGTACTCTAGAAACTACAGAGCACTTATGAAAGAAATTGAGGAAGACACAAAGAAGTGAGAAAACATTCCATGCTCATGGATTGGAAGAATAAACATTGTGACAACATCTACACTACCCAGAGCAGAAGGGTTATTGCACTGTACCATTATTGCGATAACTCAACCCTGCGGCTGTGCCCAGTTATGCTCCATCCCCTGCTGATTTGCATATCACTGGAGCACAGCCCACTTCCCTGAACACTAATTAACAGGCTGGTCACACCCTGGGCAGGACGCAGTCCCGGTCAGGACACAGCAGAGGCGTGAAGGCTCCCACTCAGCTCCTGGGCCTCCTGCTGATCTGGCTCCCAGGGAAGGAAGGAGAACCCTGCGAATTTACTCAGCCAGTGTGGTCCCCAGCGAAGGCCTCTTATAACATGATTCATAGTGTGGATATTTGTTTCTATGTTTCCAAACTCAGGAGCCAGTTCTGAAATCCAGATGACCCAGTCCTCATCCTCGCTATCGGCATCTCCGGGAGACAGTCACCATCACTTGCCGGGCCAGTCAGAACACTAACAGGTGGTTAGCCTGGTATCAGCAGAAACCAGGGAAAGCTCCTAAGCCCCTGATCTATGAAGCATCCAAGTTGCAAACTGGGGTCCTGTTGCGGTTCAGCGGCAGCGGGTCTGGGACAGATTTCACCCTCACCATCAGCAGCCTGGAGCCTGAAGATTTTGCTCCTTATTACTGCCAGCAAAGTAAGAGTTACCCTCCCACAGTGTTACAGGTCAGAACATAAACCCCCAGGGAAGCAGACGTGAGGCTCTGGGCTGCCCTCGCTGCTCCCCTGGTGCCCACATCTGCTCAGAGAGTTTCGCAGAGGCAGCCCCACTTTGGAGGTCACTGGCAGCTTTGGGAGAGGGACAGGGAGGCTCCTCGGCCCCCTGACTGACTCCCTTTCCCCCAGATGATTACACCTGAGGAGTGCGGGGTATGGCATCAGCCAGACTTCGTGCAGCAAAAGAGAAGCCACTCTAGGTATTCCAAGCAGGATTGCTTAATCTAGGGGAGTAATGTCTGAACTTCACTCTTTCAAAGGCCTAGGGATATAATAATAAGGGAAGCAGACTCTAGAAACAGGTGATTCCTCAGTGATCCCCCATACGTCAGAGAACATATACCATTGGATAGACAGGCTGCCTAATCACGTGGTCCTCAGGCCAGGCCTCTGCAGCCCTTCACCAGGTGATTCTCCGGTCCTCCACTTATCACGCATCTGCCTGCAGGTGCTGATGGATGGCACTGAATCCACCCCTTCTGACTTCCAAATCTAAGGTAAGATGCCTCCGTGAGCAACTCCATAGGAAACCATAGAGGAAAGGGGGCTCTGGGAATTGTGCTTCCAGAAGTGATGGTGATGATAGGGAGCTGAGAGAAGACAGCCTGGGATGGTCACTATTTTTACATCTCTCAGAAGTTTGCCAGTTAGGGGAAGTCCCCAGAATACACTTGAATATGCTTCTAGCTACCATCGTCAGGTCTGAATTCATCACAAGAAAATTTTGTTAAGCGACTGAGTAAATAGAAAAATGAGGAAATTGTATCACGTATATAAAACTAATTTGACAGACAACGAAGGACTTTCGTGATTAAAAAAAACTAAATGTGGGTGAAGCATTGTTTTTCTTTAATGTGAAATATCTTGTTGCTTAAAATTTTTTGTAAGCCAGAGCAAGATTGACATCCCTGGAAGCTTGTGACAAATGCAAAATAGCAGGATCCACCTGACACCTACTCACAAGGATCTTCATTTTAACAAGATAGCAGGAGATCTGTATAAGGTTTAAGATGCTCTGTTTTAGAGCATTTTTACTTCCCCTTAAGTGGTCTTTTTTAATTTTCTATTTTCATTTAAGAAATTTCTATTTAAAGCTACGTGTTGAAAACACATCCAATTTTACTTTCTAATTCACACAAAATTAAATTACAAACTTCTTGTTAAATTGTAAATATGGAAAAATATAATTATTTGGAAATAACATGACCATGTATCTTAAAAATTGAATAGAATAATAATTTTTAGAAATTTAAAGAATTATGAAGACCTAAGAATAAATCAAAATTATATGCAATTGTGTCAGAATAATTGGACTTAAGTTTGCTTGTGTGGGGGATTTTGTACCCTCCTACAAATTGCCATAAGAATGATGTACCGTCGGTAGTCACCACACCATCAGTCTTGGCTCCAGATCAAACACAATCAGTAGGCTGGAGAACAGTTCATCTCCCTGCAGAAGAACCACACAGCTGAGCACTGTGAACATTATCCAAATCATTGTCAACATGAACATCCATGACTATAGAAACAAATGCTTAGTATTACAAGCCACTGAGTTTTTGACTGGTTTGTTAGAATAGTGTGTAAAATCTGACTAATACAGTTTTTACACATCTTCGCATAGAGATTGACAGGTTTTATTAAAACATGGCATAAAAATGAATACTTGGAAATCCGTTAATAAGAAATACAAAACAATGTTTTAAAAAATAAATATTTGAATTAAAAGTGTAAAATTTGGGAGAGGGGCAGGGAGGCTCCTCCGCCCCCTGACTGACTCCCTTTCCCCCAGATGATTACACCTGAGGAGTGTGGGGTGTGGCATCAGCCAGGCTTCGCGCAGCAAAAGAGAAGCCACTCTAGGTATTCCAAGCAGGAACGTTTCAAATTCACAGAGTTTGACTCCGAACCATAACCTTTCAAAACCTTTCCAAGTCTAGGGAGTGTGATAAGAAGGAGAACAGAGGCTAGAAATGGGTGATTCCCTGGTGCTGCCCCGGAAGCCAGAGCATGTTACCACTGAAGGTACAGGCTGCCTAACCATGTGGTCCTCGGGCCTGTCTGGGAAGCCTGGGGGGCGAGATGCCAGATGCTGCAGCCTCTGAAGCCCCTCTCCTGGTGATCCTCCCGTCCTCGCCTCGTCCACTCTGCCTGCAGCTGCTGATCGGTAGGATCAAATCCTCCCCTTCTGACCTCCAAATTCCAGTGAGGCTGCCTTGTTGAGCACCTCGAAGGGAAGCTGTAGAGGAAAAAAAGGGGAGATGTGCTTCCAGAAGGGATGCCAATGATGGGTGGCCGGCTCTCGGAGCTCTGCTGGCCAGAGGATGGACCCAGAAGACACTCGAATGTGCTTCCAAGTATTATCAGCAGGTCTGGGATCATAGCCTGAAACTTTATTGAGTTATATGGTAAACAGAAAATGAGGAAATTACATTAAATATATAGCAATCATTTGACAAATAAATGAAAAACGTTTTTGACACACACAAAAACACTAAGCGTGAATATACCATTCTTTTCCCTCAACATCTTCCCAGCGGCCTGCAGCATCATCTACATCACTGCGAACTTATAAACACAAAATTGCGGGTCACCTTAGACCTTGAGATGGGAATCTGCACTTTAACAAGTTACCAGGTTTAGAGAATGTTTACTTCAGCTAAAAAGATTTTTTTTCCAATGAAGCCATTTAAGACAATTTCTATTTAAAGCTGTATGTTGAGACCACATTCGGCTCTATTTTGAGTTAACACAAAACTAGATTTGAAAACACTTTTACAATAGTAAAATCTAAAAACACTTATCTGCTAATGACATGATTAAATACTTCGTTTTTATTTAATTTAACTTAATTTTATTTTATATTTTATTTTATACTTATTTTATTTCCAATATAGTTAGCATACAGTGTCATATTAGTTTCCGGTGTACAATACAGAGATTCAACAATTTCATACATCACCCTGTGCTCATCCCGACAAGCACACTCCTTAATCCCCATCACCTCTTTCACCCATCCCCACCTGCACCCCCCACCCGCCTGGTAACCATCGATTTGTTCTCTATAGTTAAGAGTCTGTTTCCTGGTTTGTCTCTCTCCCTCTTTTCCTTTTTTTTCTTCGCTTATTTGTTTTGTTTCTTAAATTCCACATGTGAGTGAAATCATATGGTATTTGTCTTCCTCTGACTGACTTATTTCACTTAGCATTATACTTTCTATCTTCATCCATGTCATTGCAAATGGCAAGATTTCATTCTTTTTTATTTTTTATTTATTTTTTTAAGATTTTATTTATTTAATATGATAGAGAGAGATACAGTGAGAGAGGGAACACAAGCAGGGGGAGTGGGAGAGGGAGAAGCAGGCTTCCCGCCGAGCAGGGAGCCTGATGCGGGGCTCGATCCCAGGACCCCGGGATCATGACCTGAGCCGAAGGCAGACACCTAACGACTGAGCCACCCAGGTGCCCCCATTCTTTTTTATGGCTGATAATATTCCACCTCTTCTTTATCCACTCATCTATCAATGGACACTCGGGCTGCTTCCAAAAGCTGGCTATTGTAAACAATACTGCTATAAATATAGAGGTACATGTATGCCTTTGAATTACCGTTCTTGTATTTTTGGGGTAAATACCTAGTAGTGCGATTAACTGGATAGTAGCGTTCTATTTTTAACTTTTTGAGGAATTCTTTGAAAATTTAATAGATTAAAGGTTTTTAGAAACTTGAGGAATTACAAAGGCAAAAGAATATAAATTTTGTGCACCTGTGTTGGAGATCATTGGACTTAAATTTCCTTGTGCAGCTTGGTTTGGGGATTTTGTTCACTTCTGAAACTTGCCATTAGAATATTTCACCCAGAGCAGGGGTGCCTGTCTGGCTCAGTTGGTAGAGCATGAGACTCTTGGTCTGGAAGTTCTGAGTTCAAGCCCCACACTGGGTATAGAGATTACTTAAAAAATAAAAAAGAAAGAAAGAAAAATGAGTAGTCACTGCCCTTCCATCTTGGTCCCAGATGAAACACTATCCATAGGCTGGAGAGCATCATAGTGGCATGTAGCAGAACCACCTGGCTGAGCCCTGCCTGGATCAGCCAAACCATTGTTAACATGAACATCTGTGGATATTAAAGTTAATGCTTAGTATTGTGTGCCACTTGGTTGTGAGTGGTTTATTATCAATCATCATGCAAAAGTTGACAAATACAATATTTATGCACCTACACACTTACTTAGATGCATTTTATTAAAACTGACCTCAGTATGAATATTTAGCAATCTGTTCATAAAGATATTAAGAAGAAATTAAGACAAAATAATATTTGAATAAAAAGTTAAAAATTACCTTATTTATAGAAAAATATACATATAGGTGTGTGTATATATATATAAAATATATAGGTGTATATATAATATATAATATATTCATGTTCTGTGACTATTTTATATGTATATATATGGTGATGTAACTATAAATATATATTTTTTATTTTTTTATTTTATAAATATATATATATTTTTTTATTTTAAAGATTTTATTTATTTATTCATGAGAGACAGAGAGAGGCAGAGGGAGAAGCAGGCTCCCAAGGAGCAGGGAACCCGATGTGGGACTCGATCCCAGGACCCCGGGATCATGACCTGAGCCGAAGGCAGACGCTTAATCATCTGAGCCACCCAGGTGCCCATAAATATATATTTTTAAAAATATATAAATACATGTGTTTGATCATGCCGATAATAGTTATAAATATATTTGATAAAATTTAACAATTCATTACTAATTTTTAGTTAAGAAATGTCTTAGTAAACTGGGAATAAAAAAGATCAGAATAGAGGGCTGTCATATAAGTTTTCACCCAAACTGGGTTATTTGTGAGAGCAAAGAGGGGGTGCTATTAAATGTTAAAGATCACATTGGGACTGTGTCAGACAAAAGAGAACTTATCGTTACTCTAAGGCATGAGAATATGATCAGCAAAAACTGATGAGAAGAATGAGAAGCAGTAAAAATAGGAAGCGGAGAAAGTTAATACCCAAATGACATTAACCTCCAAAATAAAGAATAATATTAACCATGGAAATAGCCTCTAACAATGTATAAGCCTTCTCGACTGCATAATGCCTGAAGAAGCACTGCATGGATTTGATCCGAGGAGATACTCTCTCGTCTTATTGTCCATGACTCATGGTTATTTAGTCTAAGTAACATACCAAGATAGAACTGGTATTTCACACCCATCCCTAGAAAATGAGAGCTCATGAATTCTATAGGGAAAAGTATATGTTCATACAAAAATTTAAGTCTTGGAGGGTCATCCCAGATCTATTATTTTCTTGTTTTGAGAAGATGCACAAAATTCAGAGCAATGAGGACATATAGGAATCAGAAAAATTGGAGGTGATTTTTTCTTTTCTTTTTTTTTAAATATTTATTTATTTTAGAGAGAGAGAGCGAGTGGAAAGGGGGGGCTGGAGCAGAGAGAGAAGGAGAGAATCCTCAAGCAAACTCCCCACTGGGCTTGGAATCTGAGGCGGGGCTCCATCCCAGGACCATGAGATAATGACCTGAGCTGAAATCAAGAGTCAGACGCTTAACTGACTGACCATCCAGGCGCCCCAGAGAGAGAGTTTTTTCTGACAAACACCTGGGAGAAGCTCCTCTGGGACTGGACGTGAATCCTGGGTTTGTGTGATTCCCCAGGAGGCACTGGTTCTGCAGCTGCAGCCAGACCTGCCCAACCCCTCAGTGATTTGCATGTTTCCCCCAGGGCCCGTTTCTGCTCTTCAGAATCCTCATAAATAGGCTGCTCAGACATCTGGGGCAAAAAAGAGCTTCAGGCAGGGCCTTGGATCGAACATGGGTGTCCTGACCCAGCTCCTCTGCCTTCTGCTGGCCTGCCTCCCAGGTGAGGAGGGGAGTGCAGGGACATCCCCGAGATGGGGGGGGGGAGCTCCTCTCCTCCTGACTGTGGGATCTCCCCAGGGCTCTGTGGATCCCTGACCCGGGGTCTCCCCTTCCCTCGGAGACCCAGGTGCTCTCAAGTTAGGGGACCAGGGCCGCCAGAATCTTCTGGGAGGAGAGTGGAGTGGGACCTGGTAGACAATGGTGACTTTGTGTTTCGCTTCCTTCCCAGCCGCTAGCGGGAACGCTGGGCTGACCCAGTCTCCGGCCTTCCTCACTGTGTCCCTGAGAGAGAGCGTGTCCATCACCTGCAGGGCCAACGAGAGCATCAGCGATTACTTGAGCTGGTATCAGCAGAAACCAGGCCAGGCTCCTAAGCTTCTCATCTATGATGCTGATAACCTAATGTCTGGTGTCCCAGACCGGTTCTCTGCGATTCAGTCTGACACAGAATTCATCCTCAAAATCAGCACAGTAGAGGCTGAGGATGCTGCCAGTTATTACTGCCAGCAGGATTATACAGTTCCTCACACGGTGCTACAGCCCTGAGCATAAACTGTCCCCCGGGCTGGTTGGGGTGGGGGGGGGCGGTGGGCGTTCCAGCACCTGCGCTCTGCTCTGTGGTCTGTTCATCCGGGCAAGCGCTGCTTTGGGGAAGGGCTTGCAGGGCTCAAGGGTCATGACCTGCAAGGGACTTTGTCCTTCGAAAGCTTCCTTTTTGAACAACATAAAACCACCAAACCTTCAGTGAATTCTATCAAGGAGGTTTCTAGGTCAGGCCTGTAAATCCTTTCTCTGAGAAACCCTCTGCGAGGTTTTTTGTTTTGTTTTAAGACAGAGAACTAGGCAGAAAAAGGAGCCCATATCCAAGAAGATATTCCTACTAATACTATTAATAATAATAGTAATAACAATAGTAATAATAACAATAATACTACTGATGACAGTCAACAGACAAATAATAACAATAATACTACTGATGACAGTAATTACTCTGCCAGTTGCCGTTTGTTGAAGTCTTGGAGATGTGCTCTGTGTCCAATATGCAGCACCAAGCCTTACGCATCCAGAGCAAATAGTCACACAATCATCCTCTAGAGATAAGAAATCAGGGGTTCTCAGACACCAGTGCTTTAGGGAAGAAGATGGGGGGCAAAATTCTGATTTTCAGACTCCGTAAGTCCTATTCATTAATTAACTCATTCATTTAAAGAGTAGATAATATTAAATGCAGCAAAGTGAATTTCCTGTGTATAAAGTGAATTTAAATATACACCTAGATGAATATACACATACGCATATCCTCCTCTAACTGCTACCCAGTCCAGAGAGTCGCTGCCTCCAACATCCCAAAGGCTTCCTCACGCTCCTTGCAGTCACTTCCACACCCCATCCTCCCCCAGTACCAGCAGCCACCAGGGCTCCGTTTCCTGGTCTTAAACTTCACATGAATGACATCATACAGTATGTACTTTTCGGCTTCCTTTGACAACATGTTTTTTGAAGTTCACTTGTGCTGTTGGTGTGGCCATAACTTGTTCCTTTTTACCGCAGAAAAGTTCTCTAGTATATGAATCTATCACAATTCATTTTTCAATCTATGAGTTCTTCTAGATTGGAGACTGTTACTGATAAAGACTTTAGGAACGTTTCTGCAATGTCTTTTGTGGACTTTCGCACTCTCTTCCCTTGGGTACATTCCTCAGAGTGCAAGTGCTGAATCACATAGGTTTGGCTTCAGGAAACACTGCCCCTTTCTGTTTCTGCTCCCGCAACTGTGAGTCCAAGTTCCAGTGGCTGTAAATCCTGGCAATACTTGGTGTTGTCACACTTTATATTATAATCATATTGGTAGATCTTGAGGTGGTATTGCGGTTAAAATGTAGATTTTCCTTGATGAGTAACGATGTTGAGTAACTTCTCATATGTTTTTCATTGGCTATTTGGATGTCTTGGGAAATATCTGTTCAAAATAAATATAAATAGATTGATAGATAGATGATAGATAGATAGATAGATAGATAGATAGATAGATGATAGATGATACGGGGGTGAGAGAGAGGGATTATCTTTTGTTATGTCTATTAACTTTCTTGATGAAGAAAATAAGCTTCTAATCTCGATGGGCTCTAATTTATCCACTTTTTTTCTCTCTTAATTTTGTGTGTGTATATGTGTGTTCCACGTAATAAATATTTGCCTTACCTTAGAGTCTGAAGTTATCCTCCTGGGCTTTGTTCAGAGGCTCCGTTATTTTAGCTCTCACATGTAGGCTATACTCCAGGAGTTCATCAGGGTTTTTCTTTCCACTATCCATTTCATTGCATTTCCATCTCCGATGGCTCCTCACTGTTTATTGGAAAAGAAACACAGCATAACATCCACTCCATTGTGTGGAAAATGGCCATCCCAGGATCCCTTTTCATGTAGGGTGAAGTTAATTCCTTTCACAAAATCCTTTATGACACAACAGCTTGAAACAGAACCAACATCTGAAAAAATTAAGTAAAGGCAGTCTTCAGAAGTAAAGAGACTAGCATTAAGATAGAAACGGAAGAATTTCTTCAATTTATATGAAAATTCAAGGGCAGGAAAACCCAAACGACTACAAGGGGAGTAGGAAGGACAGTAAGCGTGGTTGGGAGTAGTTATGGACAGAAAAGTGCACGTGGGAGCCTTCTGGAGAATTTGAAATATTCGGTATTTTCATCACAATGGTGACCATTTGTCGCTGTTCACTTGTGCCCTGAAAATGTTTGCTCTTTATTCTGTATGTATTTTATCTCAATCAAAATGAAAAAGGACAAAGCCCAGAGCCTTTTAAACAAACATAAGAAAAAAACAAAAATCACCAAATATTTGTGGCAACTCAACCCCACTAAAATGTAAATATGACTAGGAAAGTTCTGAAAACCCATAAAACTAGGAGAGAAAATAGAAGGGGACATGTAACTGTGTGCCTTTACCCTTTGAGTGCCATAGATTTTATCTCTATTGGTTTTCCTTCAAATGCAGAGACATTTGGTCTTACTTTGCTCACAGAAGAGCCTCCCCAACCCCTTCCACTGGTTCTCTCCACACAGGGAATTTGCATGTTGTTCTCTAGGGAGGCCCCTCCCCTGTAAGTCTGAGATAAAAGGTCAGCTCTCATTTTGCTTTGACTTATCAGGACTCATCAGTTCAACCTCCCAAAATGACTTTCCTTTCTCAGTTCCTGGGGCTGCTGATGCTCTGGATCGCTGGTAAGGATGGAGGGGAGATGAGAAAGGAATAGGGAGGGGGTGAGGAAGGTGAGCTCTGGGACACAGTGGCTTATGATGTATATTTGTCCACATGTTAGATGCATACATCTTGCTCTCTAGGATGAGGCATGTTTAGATCCACGAGACTGAGGAAAATTCCAGAAGAAACAAGGAAGGATCTGTGCTCTGATGAAGACTGTGACACAGAAAGAGAGGGACTGTGTAGGTGACTTCTAGACACCCCTTTGTATGCTGCAAATCTTGGTTTCTTTTTTGAAATTGGGTATTTTAGGGTAGAAATCAACGTTTTTAAATGATATAGCCTGAAATAAATAACAAGAGAAAAATTCTGAAAATGGCTCATAAAGTTTCTATATAACCTTGCATTTCTCTCTCCTTACTTTAGGGGATGTTGTGATGATGCAGACCCCACTCTCCCTGCCCGTCACCCCTGGAGAGCCAACCTCCTCTCCTGCAGGGCCAGTCAGAGCCTCCTACACAGTAGTGGAAACACCTATTTGAGTTGGTACCTGCAGAAGCCAGGCCAGTCTCCACAGGGCCTGATCTATAGGGTTTCCAACCATTACTCCTGGGTATCAGACAGGTTCAGTGACAGTGGGTCAGAGACAGATTTCACCCCGAGAATCAGCAAGTGGAGGCTGAGGATGCTGGAGTTTATTACTGCCAACAAAGTCTACAAAATCCTCCCGCAGTGGTCACCCTGCATACAAACCTTCCTCTGGGTGGTGCAGCTGCCCATGGGTGGTGATAGTTTGGGGAAGAAGCAGGTTTAGATTGTCTTACTCTGTTCAGTTAGTCTACAGGTGAGCTGGGATCAGCAGATAGTTTAACATTTATAGACAAAAAGCCTTCATCCCTAGCACACTATTTCTCCACTTATCCTTATGAATCAGTGGTATATTTCTAAAGAACTTTTGTATTTATTCCAAAAAACTAGACTCCTTAAGGCAGATGGATAATAAGGCCTTGAGGATACAGAAAAGTCAGGCATGTCAACATACACCTCCCAGTGTTTTGAAAGAACATATACGGTAAACACATGCACAGAGCCTTCCCTGAGTTCCCTGTAACCAGAATGCTTTGCCACAGATTTTACCTTTTTGGGTGACAATTTGCTGTTATTGGTCCAAGGCAACCAGCTTTAGTCACAGGTGACTCAGGGCTCAGCAATCCACTCTAGCCACCTGCAGCTGGGGGAGCTCTCCTGCTGGGCGGGGTGATCTCACTCAAGGACAAACAAACTCCCCTTTAATCAGAGAGAAGAGCCTCCCTTTGGATCCAGGAGGTGACCAGGCCTCCATGTCTCTAATCTCATCCGAAGCAGTGTGGGCCTGGCTGTTTGGGTTGACAAAGTCTAGAGAACACAGTGCACAGAATGGGGAACAGTAGCAGAGTCTCCATCCCCCATAAAGGGACTGCAGGATAACAGACTCAGACCCCAAGGAGACAGTCTTCCCAGTCACACAGTCACACACTGGCTTCCAGCTTTATGGAGCTCAAACCAACAGCATCTGACAACAGAGACAAAGTACAACGAGACCCACCTGCCTAAGTCCTTCCTCATTCAGTGGTTGATGGTCAAGCTTGGAGATTCCCAAAGACTGATGCTCAGCTGGACCTCATGTTCCTTGTTCTTTCAACCCATACAAAGTCTTATTTCTCGGTGCTCTGAAGCGACTCAGGTAGCTTGCTGGTCAGTTTTATTCTCCAGGCCCCAGTACACTTTGTTTATCTACAGGAGATAGAAATGCGTCCTTTGAATTAGGAATTTGTGTCCTTTCTCCATTTCTGATAGCATATTTATGAAGGGCCCACCACAATATGACCATATCAAAAATAACTATATGTATCTCCAATGACTCTTTTTAAAGTAATGTCACATTCTGAAGTACTGGGGACTAAAAGTTAACATAATTTTGGTGGGACATAATTCAACCAATAATACTGTATAGAAACAATCCTTAGTGCATTTGAAAATAGTCCTACAAAACTAGCTTTACAATTTATAGAGTCTCTTTCTTTCTTTCTTTCTTTCTTTCTTTCTTTCTTTCTTTCTTTCTTTCTTTCTTTCTTTCTCTTTCTTTCTTTCTCTTTCTTTCTCTTTCTTTTCTTTTCTTTCTTTCTTTCTTTCTTCTTTCTTTTCTTTTCTTTCTTTCTTTTCTTTCTTTCTTCTTTCTTTCTTCTTTCTTTTCTTCTTTCTTCTTTCTTTTCTTTTCTTTCTTCCTTCTTTTCTTTCTTTCTTTCTTTCTTTCTTCTTTTCTTTTCTTTCTTTCTTTCTTCTTTCTTTTCTTTTCTTTCTTTCTTTCTTTCTTTCTTTCTTTCTTTCTTTCTTTCTTTCTTTCTTTCTTTCTTTCTTTCTTTCACTACTTAATTTTCTGACAACTTTCATTGGTGTATTTAATTAGGAGGGTTGGAATTGCCAGGACACAGATTGCTACCTGCTAATAGAAATACCTATTTGTACAGGTGCCATTAAAAGCCAGAAGGGAGACCTAGAGTCACTCTCCCTACAATCGTAAGGAAGGACCAGGCCAAGAAAACCAAAAACCTAAACTAACGTAGCAGAATGAAGGGGTGAAGTGTACTGTCACTAGTGAGATGTAGGACATATGCATACCACATCCACCTGACACCACAGCTTCTCTCAGTGACCAGGATTCTTGAGCCAGAGTTCAGGGTCGAAAGCTCAACAAAATTCTTGTCTAATTACGTTTTCAGCATTATTTGAAAATGTTATTCTTAAGGATTTCCCAGAAGACATTCAGGCCAAGCAGTCTTGAAGAATCTTACATATTACACTGTCCTTGTTAATATGTGTTCTTGGCCAATTAAATCTGACTTTGGGGTTAACTCAACATATAATCAGATGGCAAAATCTATTTTTTCATTTGCTCCCGAATTTGACTTGTAAGAGAAAAGCAATTTGACATGAGTACCATTTTTCAGGAGCTGTTCAATTCCACATGACCTCATTAGGCTGACACGAGAAGTAAAATCAGGTTATTTCACTATTTGATAAAGGCTGGTGAGGTAGGCCAACACCCCAGAGCAGCTCTGACCCAGCACCCTATTCCATAGTGACTGTATTAAAACAAAAGCTCAGGAATTTGTCAGTGATGGGTCCCAATGTCTGAACCTATCTGGGACCCCAGAGTAAGGGTTGGAAACCTTATAGATCAGGCCCTATGGAGACTGGCCTGGCTTCTGCTGGAACCAATTCAAGTAAGTGGAAGAGTGTGAGCAACATGGCACTCACCTTCCAGAGATGGACCCAGGACACACATGTGTGATCCACTCTCTGATGCTTGCTCAGAGTGAAGGAACAATAAGCACTGGGGGCTTGCTGGGATGCACACTTGCACAGTGGGATTGCTCTTCCCACTGCGGCACGTAGTATGGCCTTGACTTTACTGGTTTTCTCTCAAACACAAAGGTCTCAAAGACCTTTTATTTCAATCTGCTCACAGGTAGGCCCCTCCCACCTCCTCCCTGCCCCTTCCATACTGCAGCACCCAGCAGGGGATTTGCATAGTGTCCCCTAGGGAGGACATTCCCTTGCAAGTCTGAGATAAAAGGCCAGCTTGAATCTTGCTTTGACTTACCAGGACCCCTCAGTTCAGCTTCTGAAAATGAGGTTCCCTGCTCAGCTCCTTGGGCTGCTAATGCTTTGGTTCCCTGGTAAGGACAGAGGGGGGTGAGGAAGAGGTTGTGGTGGGGAGGGTGAGCCGTGGGGGCTCCGCTGCTCTCCGGGTGTATTCCGTGTGCATTGTAGAGGGTGTGTGACTTGTCCTCCAGGGTGGGGCGGGTGATGTGTACATTTGGGAGAGTGAGGAAGATTCCAGAAGGAACAAGGACCTGTGCTCTAGTGAGGACTGTGACAGAGAAGGTGGGGATGGGGTGCGCAATGTTCAGAGGCTTCTCTCTACTTCACGGATCTCTGGTTCATTATTGAATGTGCATTTTTGGATGTTTGGGAAATCTCAAATAATGAGAGTAAAAAGCAGTATTTTAGTTAAATAACCAAATGGAAACAATGAAAATAGCTGAATATATTTGTAATGATCATGGCACTTCTCTCTCCTTGCCTAGGATCCAGTGGGGAAATCGTGATGACACAGACCCCCCTGTCCCTGCCCGTCACCCCTGGAGAGTCCGTCTCCATCTCCTGCAGGGCCAGTCAGAGCCTCCTACACAGTAATGGAAACACCTATTTGAATTGGTTCTGGCAGAAGCCAGGCCAGTCTCCACAGCTCCTGATCTACTTGGTTTCCAACCGTTTCACTGGGGTCCCAGACAGGTTCAGTGGCAGCGGGTCAGGGACGGGTTTCACCCTGAGAATCAGCAGGGTGGAGGCTGACGATGTGGGAGTGTATTACTGCGGGCAAAATCTACAGTCTCCTCACACAGTGGTTCAGGCCCGCACACAAACCTCCCTGCCTGGAGCGTCCAGCTGCCTGAGTGAGGAGCTTCTCTGGGGAATCACAGGAGAGTCTCTGAGTCTGTGTAAGAGGAAGGAGTTGGAGGACCCGGGGGCGCAGCTTGCAGCTGGGCATCAGGCTCCACATGGTAAGGCCCCGACAGCTGCCCAGCCTGGCATGGCAGAAGCAGCAGGGGAATTTAGGGGCTCCTGTCATGTCAGGTGAAAGGAAGAGCAAACGAGTCTTCCTCCACCTAATTCTCCTGTGCCTGGGTTTCTCAAGTAAATGTAGTCACTCTGGTAACCAGACAAGTGACATAGATCTGTGGTAGAAAAGTGAATACCTATTGGAATGAACAGTGTGGGCTATATCTTCCACAGAATCAAATTTGCTAAGTTTGGTAGTAGTGGTATTTTCTCACTTTACCTTTTTCTACTTCTCTACTACTTCACTATCCTCTCCATTAACATGTTCAAGAGAGTGATCTACACTCTCTTGAGTGTAGGGTATGGGTGAGAGTATGGGTGAGAAAAATCAGTAAAAAATTTTAAATCTGATAGGGCACCTGGGTGGCTCAGATGGTTAAGTGTCTGCCTTCGGCTCAGGTCATGATCCCAGGGTCCTGGGATCGAGTCCCACACTGGGCTCCCTGCTCAGCGGGGAGCCTGCTTCTCCCTCTGCTTCTCTCTCTCTCTCAATCTCTCATGAATAAATAAATAAAATCTTTAAAAAAATTTTTTTAAATCTGATAAATCAAAAGAAACATTTACAAATTTTTAGTTATTATAAGATTCCAATGTAAAGTGTCTTTGATTTCCCTCAAATACATTTTCCTGAGTGACAAGGGGGTTCCTGAAATTTCAAAAGTGGTTTTGAAAGTAAACAGCTAAGTAATGATAGAGACAAAAGTTACCTTTGTATATCACAGGAAAATCCTAAATACATGAGGTTTTTCTTTTTCTCCAAAATGGTAAGGATGTTAAGTATATAGAACCCAAACACTGCTTTAGTTGTGATGAATTTAGTGCTTTATTATTGTAAAAATAGGTTTTGAACAATAAGTAAATGCATTATTTTCACAGGATGTGGTCATTAACTGAAAATGACCCTGAATAGGATATTCTTTTGAAAATGTATAGAAAATTTATATATTGACTAGATTCCATTCAAAGGAATGTTTTAGAGTGACACTTGACCTAGAAATTGGTCATGCATAATGTCATCACACATATGATACAAGTAAGAGTGATTGAATTCGCAAAACACCCAAACTTGTTTGTAGATAACAAAATAAAGTGTATTACAGATGATTGCCTATTTTAAGGTAATGAACACAAGTACAGTTAAATCTAATACGTCAATTCCGGTAGCTTTGATAGTGTGTGGGGAAAAATGTATATAGAAATCCAGCAGACTGGAGCCCACAAATCATGGAACTTATAACACTTAATTATTTTAGAATATTGATAAATGCATGATCACGATGGAAAGAGATTATGGAAGCACTGGGAGGAAATGCAATGAGAGCTGGAAGACCAGCAGGACCATAGTCAGCCCACATGATTGACACACCTTGTGATCTGGAATTTCGACTTTGATGTCAGGAGAGAAAGCCAAAGTCCCTCAGTGTGTTGAACTAGGTAGAGGAATCTTACATGATGCTCGTATCCCAAATGGCTGCACTCAAACAAAATAGTAAAAAATAAATGATCTCATAAAACTGAAAGGAGATACCACGGAGAGTCAGAGGACAATCTAATTGGCTGTTACACAGAAATCTCAAAATACAGTTGATTGAGTATGACAAGATTTCTCTGTCTCTAAGGTAACAGTCCAGAGGTGGGCAGGCTCCCTTGGTAAGGGAAGTGGTTCTGTTGCATTAGGTCACTGTTTTTCCCCAGCTGGTCACTTTTGTGTAGAGACCTCACTCCTAGTTTCAGCAGTTGGTTTCAAATCCTATTTATTTATTTTTTTACAGATTTCTTCTGTTTTTAAGTAATGTCCACACCCACTGTGGGACTTAAACTACAACTCTGAGATCAAGAGTCATAAACTCTACTGACTGAGCCTGAAAGTGCCCCCAAACCTATTCATTCTTGCACTCACGGTCACTATATCAAAATACAAAGCACATCTGAAGGAGAGTCTCTGAAGTCTACAGGATTTCATACCCAAGCAGACTCTTTTGTGTGATGTCATATATGGTAGGATTAATGGATGCCATAGTCATGAGTCCATTGTTACACGATCTTCATGACAAAATAGATTTCTTGTCACAACCAATACTCTCATGGGTAAACCAAAAGTTCTGTGAACTCTTGGATGGTGACAGCAGCTGAGCCTCACTGGGTCAGGAAGGCTTACTCTATCTGGAGCACAACTAGTCCCAGGAGTGATGCATCACACCCTCTCCAGGGGAACCAATGAGATGTACAAAAGTAGGAAAAAGTGGTTGGTGGTATTAGTCCCTGCTGGTAGCAGCTCAGATACCCAGAGGTGACAATAATTAGCTCTTCCCTATTGAAGATGGTGGTGGTGGACTCATGCCACTGGGCATATACATAGACTCCATGTAAGTCACCATGGCTGCATCACTCATGAACATAGTGAGCAAATAACGTGGAACTTGAGATAAGGACTGAGGACAGCTCATCTGCTCAGAGGTATAAGCTTGTTTGTTTGGTGTCTTACCTGTGGTGGGTGCTCTGTTCAAGTTTGACAAAACACTGAGTTCCACTGACATAATGTCCACTTCCTTCTGTACATCCACAGTCCTTTTTCCAGATCTCATAATCAGTGACCTTGCAATTTTCTCCTCCCAGGCCCTTGATTAATCAGACATCTAGGAATCCTTGTCAATCCTTATCTCAGTCCAGTTGTGCATTTGTAGGAGTTAGAGTCATAAAGACAGGAAACTGTAGTAAGTGATGTCCCAAGCATGTTAGTCATGCTGTGCCCATGGATAGAGAAACCCAAACACTTGGAAGAGTTCAAGAATTCTACTCTCTTCACATCTATACTTCTCTCTCTCTTTTTTTAATCCTAAATACCAAAGCAGCCTCAGGTCCTCCTTGACTTTACTCATCTCCAGGGATCCTTAATACAGAAGTGTGGTCAAGAAAAGTCAGGTACAACGTACAGAGTGGAGATCCCATGGGTCTCCTCAGCCCCAATGTGTATTTGCAGGTTTCCCTCCTTCTCAGGTGTTTTTGAGGGGAGGTTCTGACTCATCCCACTGAGTTATCATCAGAGTGTGCATTTGAGGATTTAAAAAGAACACCTTTCATAGTATCCAAAATCTATAAAGAACTTATCAAACTCAACACCCAAAGAACAAATAATCCAATCAAGAAATGGGCGGAAGACATGAACAGACATTTTTCCAAAGAAGACATCCAAATGGCCAACAGACACATGAAAAAGTGCTCAACATCACTCGGCATCAGGGAAATCCAAATCAAAACCTCAATGAGATATCACCTCACACCAGTCAGAACGTCTAAAATTAACAGGTCAGGAAACGACAGATGTTGGTGGGGATGCGGAGAAAGGGGAACCCTCCTACACTGTTGGTGG